TTTTAGCTTTTAGTCTTTTCTAGTCCTCGAGTTAGAAATTTTCTCGTCAAAAATTTTCGCGGGGTCGTATGTGAGGACCACACATAACTTGGGGCTAAATCTGAAAACTTTAGCTGTACATGAGCTGGAACATCCCCCTAAAATTTCAGCCTCCCTGTTTTTCTGGTTCTCGAGTTGGCCAATTTTCGTGGCAAAAAGTTCCATGGGGCCGTACGTGAGAACCACGCATACTTGGGGGCTGAGTTCGAAAAATTTGAGTTCTGCGCCGGACTCGGAACATAACCACAAAATTTTAGCTTTCTAGCTCTTCTGGTTCCCAAGTTGGCGATTTTCCCGCCAAAACCTTCACACGCTCGTACGCGCGGCCTAGACATGTGTAAGGGTTGGTACCTCAGAAAAATGCTGTTTCTTGACCAGTCTAGTTACTGGGTTAAGTGGGCACTAACAGCGTCCCTAGCTAGACTTTCACTTGCATGAGGAACCTAGACGTGTTTTAAAGCTGAATATGAAATATTTCGGCTGCACACGGGCACAGAATACCCTCATAAAATTGCAGCTTCCTAGCTTAACTGGTTGGCGAAATCGCTTTTCGTTACAAATATTTTTGACGTACCTAAATGCGCCAAACAGGCGCGTGCAAAAACTTATTTTAGGCTTTTCACTTTCGTATGAACAACAATTATTCTCGCAAAGTGAAAGTCGCCTATCTGCTTTGTTGCCGAGTTCGCATAGCTATTTGAAATCCTAAATTTGAATTGTAAGTATACATGAGGTACGCGTGAGTTCAAGCTGATTCGAAATCTTTAGCTCACACAAGGCCATAGAACATTTTTGTAAAACTTCAACATCCTATTTTGTTTGGTTCTCGGAATCGCTTTCCAGCCAAAAAATTTCCACGTCTTCTTTAAGACCTCCATGCGCGAGAACCAGGTGCACGCACCTGTTAGTTTTAAACTGTTTGGACAGCACGTGGGTTAGAAACATCCTCGTGAATTGCAGCTTCCTTGCTTCTGCGGTTGCTAAGTTGAATATAGGTGGCAAAAATCCAAACACATACAGCGACACACATGCCAACAACCTCTCGGCAACATGCGTTTGCGCATTTGCATAAGATGCAAAAACGCGTAAAAATGGCTTAGCTGACAGCAGCTTTTCCAAGGCAATCATTTAGTTACATGAAATCTTATAAACTAAGAAAGCACAACGCATATTAGCCGTAACTCTATATGTCTGCCTTCCAAACCAAAAAATTAAAACGTTTTTCGAGTTCGCTCTGGTTAGATAAACAACGGAAAATACCTGCTCATCGCCATCTTTATCTACTTCTTTTATAATTTCATCAACCTCTTCCTCGCTAAATTTCTCTCCCATCGTTGTCATAAAATGCTTGAATTCCTGAGCAGTGATATACCCATTACCATCCTTATCAAAAACCCTACAAATTTTCCATATTTTTTCAATCTGGTTAAGTGATATTGTGAATTATTTTAAAAAAATCTTCGGAGACTTGATAGATGATTTTCCAACACTACTTTCGGTTGACAAAAAGCCCGACTCCGAAAACATTCATTTGTTTGTCTTTGGTACTAAGCACAGTCGCCGTACCACCCATCCAATTTACGATATATTCGGTCTTCGTCGTGATTCACATATGCCTGTGACGACGTACGACGTTTTATCGATTTCCAGGAGTGAGTTCTTCACTCGATAGCGACTTACAGCTAAAGGTCCGTATCGAAAGTTCCAGACCGTCCATTAGCGTTTTAAAATCCTATTGAATAGCATATATTTTCCTTTTTCACGTTCATAGCTCTCTGATCACTGCTGTATTATGAAATATTTGACCGGACAGAATTTAGTGCCTACTGCTCAGTCCTACCTGGACAAAAGCGGCACGCTTCGTGACATAATTTTTATCATTTTTTGCACTTATGCAATGCAGAAAACGCATATTGACGAGGGGTTGTCTGTGTGTGTTTGTGTGTGCGTCTGTATCGGTTTTTCATCTCGAGACCTACAAAAGCTACACAGCTGAAATTTTTGGAAACTTGATCTACATGAATGTATGGGCCTCCATTCCCAAAATAGGCGCTTTTACCCACGAGGTTCCTTCGTAGGTATCCGCCAAAGTTTTTGGCAGAAAAGCTAGAATCAGAAAAGCTAGAAAGCTAAAATTTTAAAGGGTGTTCCCCATTTACATAGGTCTTAATGAGTTCAAATCCAGCCCTCGGGTATGCGTGGTTCCCACTTACGGCCCGTGAAAGTTTTTTGCAGACATGTTGCTAACTCGGGAAGCTGAAAAGCTAAAAAGCCGAGATTTCAAGGGGATGTTCCCTGTTCAACTAAGCACTAACGGATTCAAGCCCGGTGCCCAGGTACGCGTGGTTCCCATTTACGGGCCCGTGAAAGTTTTTTGCGGGTAAGTTGCTAACTCGGGAAACTAGAAAGTTAGAAAGCTCGAATTTTTAGGAGGTGTTTTCTGACAGTCTTGACGGGCAGTGTCAGTTCACTTAGCTAGAAGCATCTGCTGGAAAAACCTGGTGCCGTTCATAGGTGGATCTAGGATAGTCTACCGGATGGGGAGGGGAGGGGGGGCTTTTTCACCTCCACTTCTCCCCTCGCCACTACCCCACCCCTCTCGGACAGCTCACAAGCCACTCCTCGATCGTCGCGCTACCCCTTCTCCCCGGTCGACCCAACCTTCCTCAAACGTCACACTGCAATCCCTCCCTCCCCCCTCCCACCTCCCCGCTCTCACTGGTGGACACTAAACTGAAAGTGGCAGGACTCTTGGGAAGGGGAGAGGGGAGCGATAGGCAGTACCGAACACACTTTTGTACAGTAAAACAACTAGTACCTAACCC